ATCTGACTCGCGGAAAAATGGAAAAGCTGCAGGGTATTGACCTGGAGTGCAGCTGGAGACTGTAACTCACACCAGCTCTGCTTGATGCATCTGTGCTGTGTTTGTATGAAGTAAACCAGGCGGATGACAAACTGACAAATAATAGCAAGCACCTTCAATATGTGAAGCTTTGATGTTTTACTGTGAAAAACATGAACATTTATATTCATTATATCCATTTTACTGTGAATAATGTGTGTTGTAAATACATTATGTTGATGAATATATATATATATATATATATATATATATATATATATATATTAATAGTTTGCAACACTGCTTTAGGCACACGTTTTTAAAAAGTCACTTTGTATATTACCCAACTTGCTTGTATAATGTGAGCTGATTTGTGCACATGGCTGTCAAAGAGGGCAAATATACAATATGGTTCAAAAGTTTGGGGTCGGCAAGGTTTTTTTGTTTTTGAATTCAGCAATGATGAATGAAATTAATCAAAAGATATTCCTAATGTTATGAAATATTTATATTTGAAATAAAGGCTGTTCTTTTGAATTCTATATTATTTAAAGAATCCTCAAAAATGTATAAAAAAAAAATTAAGCAGCACAATTGTTTTCAACATTGATAAATGTTTCTTGAGAAGCAAATCAGCATTAGAATGATTTCTGAAGGATCATGTGACACTGAAGACTGGAGTAATGATGCTGAAAATTCAGCTTTGATCACAGGAATAAATTACATTTTAAAATGTATAAAAATAGGAGTTATTTTAAATTATAATAATATTTCATAATATTACAATATTTTTTTTAATCAAATAAATGCATCTTTGGTGAGCATAAAACACTTATTTAAAAAAAAAACATTTTACAATTTTTTACTCGCCTGAAACTTTTTAACGGTATTAACTTTTTTTTTTAAAGACACTGGTTAACATTTTGCAAGTTTGTTATCTTCAGGTTTAGTGTCTTTGTTTCATAGTTATGTATTGATACAATTTAATTTAGCTTATTTATGAAGGTGAAACCAAAACACATGAAGCCACAACACGTTTTACATAAACTAATTTGTTGAAAAAGTTTTCTGTACAAATGTACAGAAACGTACATTTTCTGAATGTCTTTGATTGTTCCTGTCATTGCTAATAATTTCTAACTTTTTGCCATTAGAATATCCAATAAATAAGTAAAAATTACAATGAAATTTTAAGCTATAAAAAATCAGTTTGAATGTTTAAGGGTTGTGTATGCTAGTATTCTTAGTCATCGCATGTTTGGGAGGCCAAATTGCCATTCAGACACATTCCCAGGGGCCCTGAGTACAATATAACATCTTTGTGATTATTTTAACTTGGCATCAGTCATTGCTTGGGGAAAAAACACTCACCTGAATTAGTTTTAAATTAAATTTTCAATTAGACTGTGTAAAAACATTTTGAATGAGTTCAACAGCACTATACATGCTCTTGAAAAAGTGTTACAGCCGCATTATTGATTGTGTGGATTGCCTGTCACAGGTTGTTGGCATCTCTCAATAGCTCTGAAGTGTGCAGATGGATGGTCAATGGGAATGTTTAGCTCAGCTGCTCACCGTCGATGCCTCCACAGCATGACACCCAGCATTTCTTCATAATTAACGTCCAAAGCTCTGAAAATAGGATGTGTCTGACTCATGAAAACGCACAGCAAGATCAGAGGCTATGAACAATGTGAGTGATTGCATTAGCTTTGGCATCATAATCGGAAGGATAAACAGAGCATTATGAGCTCTAGCTATTCCGGAACACAAGAATAAACGTTGTCGTGTAATCGCTTGGCATAAGCAGTTAGCAGAACTTGAGCGCCAGTCAGCAAACCCTTCGAGTCCACCGTCTGTGCAAGTCTAAAGCCCAGTCATTTCCATTTGAAGTCCACAGGGGAGTTTTTGTCCTAATTCTGCCTGCTGGTACCCAAATCTTTCTCACTCTCATTCCTTTATGCTTTCCATCCTGAAGCTGAGGGCATATAAAAGCCAAAGGGTTTCCTGTCTGACAGTAGAATAATAGCATCGACACTGAATCATCTCTCCTCAGCCCAAACTTACAGCCATCCTCAGCAACCGCAGGCCGGGCGACAATACAACTGTCAGACGCTTGTGCGCTTTTGAACGTCGCCTTTTGTGTGTCAATCAGCGAATTTCCTTAGTTTTCAGTTAATTCAGTGTGAATGTGCTCTTGAAAACTCTTTGACGGAACATTTATGAGCACTCCAGAATCTGAACAAAGCTCCTCTGCAGTGAGTTATGAGCTTACTATGGTGACCACACTCTTGTCAGTGAGCAGCTGCAGGGCTATTGTAGAAAATAGCGATTTTCTTTTTTCCTTGAATATTTTAGTTTCGTCTTTAAATCAGTTTCGAGTTAAATCAACATGCGGAAATACATGCAAATCATACACAGACACAGCCTGAGGCCTTTTAGATGTACTGTACATGTTTCCACAGGCTGCTACTGCATTAACAGTAAATCTTACAAGATACAGTAAAAACAACAACAACAAAGTTAAAGTCTTTATGATCATGTTAAATACATAGATACATATGCTACAACGAAAAATGTAATTAATTAAAATAGTATTAATAAAATATGACAAACCTTGACCAGTAAGAATCTGAGTGACGGGGGTGGTACTGTCTGTTTGACTGACCAATGACATGCAAGGATGTCCAAATATATGTACTTCCCTACTTATATGGGGGAAAAAAAGACTCTAGTATGTGTAAATTGTAATTCTGATGCTAGTAGTGCAGAAATTACACACCACAGATTTTCATTAGTTCAGAGAGGTTAAATACTTGCTTACTTGATGCTTATTATTCTTTCAAAGATGAGCAAGTTTGCTTGTCTTATAATATAAAATTTATTCACATTGGCCACTGACTGGATTATTTACCATGATTTCCATTTTTCAAAACATGTTTTTGCCTCAGAGCTGATCAAATGGCACTCTTTCATAAAATACTGCTTGCATTATTTAGTAATTAGTTCTTACAATATTTATATCAAAACTTATGAATGTGACGGCAAACATACATTGGTCCAAAAACAGTTTAACACAGGACAGTGGATGTTTAAAAAATATATACACAAATGTATTTCTCTGAATGCACTATACATTACCACCACAGTGTCACTTCATGATAAACAATAACATCCCTAGCTTCATGAAATAGCTTAAATGTGATCTGTACATTATACAGCATGACATTGCAGCGTCAATCTTAAAGGAAGAGTTCACCCAAAAATGAAAATTGGCTAAAAATGTACTACATGAGTTCGTTTCTTCATCAGGATTGATTTGGAGAAATTCTGCATTACTTGACTTGCTCATCAATGGATCCTCTGGAGTGAATGGGTGCCGTCAGAATGAGAGTCCAAACAGCTGATAAAAACCTCACAATTATCCACAAGTAATCCACACGACTCCAGTCCATCAAGACATTTTTCACTTCAAACAGTTGCTTCTGGCTAAAATACAAGTCCTTCTACATAATATTGTTTTCTCCAATGAAAAAGTTGAAAGTTTTTATCAGCTGTTTGGACTCTCATTCTGACGGCACCCATTCACTGCAGAGGATCCATTGTTGAGCAAGTGATGTAATGCTACATTTCTTAAAATCTGGTCTGATGAACAAACAAACTCATCTATATCTTGGATGGCATGAGGGTGATGGTAAATTATCAGCAAATTCAGTTCATTTTAGGTGAACTGTTACTTTAAATGTAATTCAACATAAAATGAGACTAACATTAGATAATAACACTGGACTTCTGATAAGTATTCTGAAGAATATCTCTATACACATTGTGTTTAATATTAGGTGAAAATCTATGAGGGACCTGGGCACCTCTTAATGTTACCACATATTGCTCTGTAGAGTCCTAATGTGTCCTAAATATTAAACACATTTAGACCTGAAGTGAACACGTTTTTCTGCTGTGGAGCTCAGGTCTGTTTCACATACACAAGTCATTTACTCATAACAGAATAACAATTGTTATTATCATTCAGCATTTCACATTATCCAAGTCATCTCAAAAGAGGATGGCTGTAAACAGAGGCGAACATGTCCAATGAGGTAATCTGATGCTGTGCATGCCGTTCTCCATGCTTTTGAATGGCTCTGATTTCAATAATAGCTTCTCTTCACCATAAGAATATTATCATTCCAGTTTACTTTTTTAAAAATGAATAGGTTGCTGCTTTAAGTGAAACATTCAGCTTGAATTTACCTTGAAAAAAATAGAAGCTTAAAGAGATAGTTCACTCTCATGTTTTTTCCAATATGACTTGTTTCTTCCAATGAACACCATAAATTAAATTTCACTGATTTAGTATATACAAGTCATACTGACATATACGGATCATTTTATGGTGCGTTTTCATCATTTTTGAAACTTGAAATCTCCAGTCATCATTAATTGTTTCTGCATTTTCACAGAAGAATGAAAGTCTGCAGGTTTGGAATGACATGACGGTGAGTAAATGATTTTTGGGAGAACTATCTCTTTAAAAGTACCTGAATTCCATGCAATTAGCATGATTTGCAAATAAAAAAAAAATGTAATATTTTTATTACTATATTCATTACATACTCATTTCCCTGACTTGGTCACTTTCACAGGCACTCTTTGTATTGCTCATTTTGAAGCACTCTCAACATCCATTACAAAAAAAAAAAAAAAAAAACGGAAAAGGGACGCCTGCTGAATGTAACCTGCACCAGGAACACATTTCTTTAGCACGCAGACATGAAAATAACTAGGGTTGCAAAGGGGTGGAAAATTTCTAGAAACTTTCCAAAAATCCCTGGAAAGTTTCCAAAATTTCTGGAATGTTTCCGAAATTTACTGGAAATTTTCCACCTTTTTGCAACCCTAGTTTGCAACCATCTGCAATAATGGAGAAAGGTTAAAACAAAGCAAAACGAAACAAAAAAACTAAAAAAAAAAAAAAAAAAAAAAAAAAAAAAAAACGTACAATGGAATCAGGCCAAAGGACCCCCACATACTGATAATCAATTCTCTTTCTCTACACCTTAAAAAGAATAAACAAGCTTGGAATTATCATAGACCGTTCAATATGAAAGTTAGGCACTGTTGATACCAATGAAAGATTTTCCCATCAAAAAGAAAAAAGAACTGTTAATAAATACAGGGAGTCTTTGTGCAACCTTGTGCATTGGACTACTGCCTTACAATGTGTATATTCGATTTTCTTGGTTCTTGATTGAGTCACCAATGACTGAAGGTCCACAAAAATTGAAAAGGGAGAGAAGGAGTGCTGTTCAATATCCCGCAGGATAGCCGCCTTTCCTGGGGTCAGATTCGGCGCAGAGTTTGTCCCCTTGTCGCACAATGGCCTGGACTACTGCTCCTGGCGTCCTCTGCAGCTCTGTTACGTGATTCTTCTGAGCCAGGCCATCAAGAACAGTCTGTAGCATGTGTTGACATATTCACAAACAGCCAAAAACACATAATAAAAAAATATTAATAATTGTCATTTTATTTACTTGAACTGTTTTATTATGTCTTAAATTAAGAAAGTTCAGTTGTCAAGTCCTGGGACCCACCTGCTCAAAGTCCTGTTCCACTACTGTCATGTTGGGGTTGAGTTGGTTGTGGACTCTAGGCTCTGTAACCGCTTTCTTCAAGTCATAGTTAAAGAACAGCGAGTTCAGTATCACCTGGGAGAAGTGGAAAAGGAGGGGTGAAAAGACATGTTTTGATATATCAGGCCAATTATAATTTGAATTTTGAAAAATAATGGAAAACCTTCCATTTACTTTATTAAAGACCCCAGGATATTCCTATTTGTTGTATTTAGTGATTGCTTCTAAACTTTTGTCCTTAACCATCATTTTATTTATGGGCAAACAAGGGTTAGTTTTATGGAGTAAAGGCTAAATTTGAAGGGTTAAATTGATAACATATATAAAATCCTCTAAGTAAAATGTATATATGTGCATATTTATATTATTGTTTTTATAAAGTATTATATGTAGCAACTATATATGTCAAAAATATATATTTTAGTTGTATATGCAACTTTATTAAAACAATATATATACAAAACATCTGTATGTTTATATGTTTTTGTAAATATTTTTTAAATACAGGTCTATCTTTTATATTTGGACATATGCATCCAATGAGTATATAGTTAAAAGCTGTTTTGGTGTTTGTGGTTACCAGAGCAGTTGCCGTGGTGATTTTCGTCCCACCTGAGGCCCCAACTACCATTTTGACTCTGTGGTGTTTGTCAAATATTATCGTGGGGCACATTGATGAAAGAGGTCTTTTACCTTGTCAAAAGACAAAAGTTGTATGTTAATACATGCCGTTATTTGAATCTGACCTGTGTCCATAGAGATAACTTGTCAGATTTTTAGGCACCTGGCTGAATGAAGTTGTTGGGTGAAGGGGAAACCCCAAAGCCATTGGTAATGTAAGGAGAGCTGAAATCATCCATCTCATCATTAAAGATAATGCCAGTTGAGCGTGACATCACCTTTGAGCCGAAACTGTGAAAACACAAGAAAGATCAAGACAATCAGATCAAAAGGAAGAGAACAATAATATAGCATTCCCCCCTCGGGTTCAACTTATAACGGTTTTTGGCACCAAAAACAATCATAATTGTCTTTCTCAGGGCTCCAGACTCACACATGAGAGCATATTATATATTGTAAGAAATAAATAAACAGAGAAACACAGATCTAGTGCCTGTTTTCTCTTACTAAAGGTTGATGGTGCTGGTGGCTGCCACCGCGCTCCCATCCTCTGCGATGACTGACAGGTGAGCCGTGCCGTGGTCATCGGGGACAAAGTACTCCGGATCGTAGTAGTTGTCTGGGTGAGTAGTGTCATCTGTGATTTTACTCCTAATGTTGTCTGCAAAGTAGTCTGAGGTCATGTTTTGGATGAGCTGGGAAAGGAGATAAATGAAAGTAGATTTACAAGAGGCCACTGAACTCTCAGGTGCATGAAACAGGAACAGTTTTTTGTTTGATGTAACAGATATTCATAAATAACTCTTTGAACCACTTCACGGATCTTGAGTTAAACTGTATGAGATCAGGTTGCATTAGTCCTCAAAACTCCTTGTGTAAGGAGAAACAGTTGTACATATTAATGTAATTACTCACATCAGTGATGTTGAGGTAACGTGGGTCTCCCAGTTTACTCCTCTTGGCATAAGCAAAACGAAATGCCTCTACGATACGATGATATGTCAAAGTCTTCTTCTCTGCTGTGGACACACTGCTGTCTGAGAAGTTGTAACCTAGAAAACAAGAATTGAATTCTTGATGTGAATTATCACTGTTATACTTATATTAGGATATTCAAATATTTATTTTGCCTTACATAATTCAGAAAGCCTTTGTTCACACATAACACATTTTTTCCCCCATATATATACGGTAGATGGATATGTTTGACCATTGCACTCACATTTTGTGTATTTTCCAGCATCACACAAGAAACTCAACTTCAACTTTTTAAAAAATGCATCTCTGGGCCTTGCATTTTTTCCCCCCACTTTACCGCTTGCACCTTGCTTTTCCAACACAGAATGTGTTTTGAGGTTTAAAAACACAAGATGCATGGCAGTCTGAAGGAAAAACGAAAAAACTAGAGACCTAGAGACCTAGTTGAACTTATTGTGCCTTGAACGATATTACATAGTGGAATGCAAAACCAACTCCCTTGAATACTGGAATTCGGCAGTCATAATTCCAAAAATTCTTTGTAGTCTATGGCAATTCTGTGTATCATTCCATTCTTTTGGGTGACTGAAAGTGGCCCTACATTCATGTCTTGTGCACTCATTGTTCTAGTTTCATATAAACTCAAATGGCACCATCTCGCATCTCACTTATCGAATGCTGTGAAAATTACCTTAAAGGACTTCAGTATAAAAATTTTGTAATACTATTACAGTGTTCATCTTTTTGCTAAGATGCTTGTTTTGCCATTGTAAATAAAATATAAACTCAAATAAATATTTAATTTATGTTTATGCATTTGGCAGACACGTTTATCCAAAGAAACTTATACTGTATTGAAGGCATTCCTGTTTAAGCTACAGGAAAGCGTTGGTTCATTTATTTGTTGAGTGCATAACAGTCAATCTGATCATTATCAGAAAACCCCTTCAGGGTGACACAAGCCCTTATCCTGCTTACCTTGTTTGCGTTTATTTTGCAATAGTGATCAATGTACATTCTTTCTTAATGCAGAACATGATCCTGCTTGCCCTCATGAATGAAGCTCTTTTGCGCAAATCCCTGGTTTACTCATGAAGACTGCGCTCTGACATCATAGTGTCTATAAATGAGTCAGTAAGTGTCTGTTGTATGGAGGATTATTTCATAATCATGTACTTGAGTCCTGTAAAATTTCCAACTCATAGAACAACATGCCCTTTCATAGTGATCCATAAATACATCTGTCGGTGTAAACACTTTTGTAAAATGTATGTAAAAACAAGAACAGGTGTACTGTACATTCAACTTGTCTATTAAGTATAATGACTATATAAGAAATGGATTCTCTGAAATACATTTTACTTAGAACTTGTAAATCATATTATGCAAATCATATATATCACATACATATATGTTGTCATTCCCAATGCTCAAAAAGTGGTTAATCACATGACATTTCTGGATAAAAAAAAAAAATTCTGGAGGTCTGCCATTAAGATGACTGGGAGAGATCCTTGATGCAAGCACACACACAGGAACAATATGAGACTCACCATCTACTATGTTGAGAATCAGAGCGAGTACAGGTCCACTGGATGGAGCATCAGGAATATTAATTGTGTACTCCCCCACATTTAACTTCAGCGGAGTCTCATTCAACACTGGCTTATATTCCTTTAGGTCCTCAAGTGTTATAATCCCTCCTGTAGTGACACAATGATTTGCATTTTTTATTAAAATGAGGTAATCTCACCTTCAATGCATGTCGAAAAAGGTCAAATCAAGCAAGTATGAAAAGACCTGCAGCCTGGATATCATCCACTATATTCTGGGCCATAGATCCGCTGTAAAAAACATCCGGCCCTTCTTCCGCTATCTTCTCATAGGTGTCAGCGAGTTTGGGAAATCTAATGATATCATTTTCCTTCAGGAGGCTTTTGTCTGAGTCACAAAACACTTCACTGGAGCAAAGACAGAGAGAGGAAAAAAATCAATATGATGTCTTTAAAACTACTAGTAGAAGCAGTGTTTGGAGGGTGGTGAGTTAGATTAGTTATTTGTTTGACATCAGTGGAATTAGTAATGTATGATGCAGTATGAGGCAATTGCAAATTACACAACAGTACACCATGGTACACTTGTTACTTGACACAATGTACTATTTTCAAATATGATAAATTGATTTTCTCACAGTCTGTCCGGTTTCTGTATAGTGTCCCAAAGATAAATCCTCACCACAACGTCACATCACTCAGAATTGTGTCCTTGTTTTTTGCAATGGCATTGGCCAAGGTCCTGCCAATTGGAAAACCATTGCGTGCCAATTCTATACTGGGCTTAAACAGTTCCTTCCATGGAAGTCTCCCATGTCTTTTGTGCGCCATCTCATAACCGCGGATTTCCCCTGGTATGGCAATGGACAACCCTCCTGCCATTCAAATAAGACACAGTAGAGTTATTATTCAATGGCCAAAACTGCAATAAGGTCAATGACGTGAGGCTCATTTTCTGTCCTATCTGTTAATATTTTCAAATATGTTTTAATGCTATTTAAAAGGCTCATTAAAAGAACAGAATTATTACAAATCATTTTTAATCTGAAAAAAGTTCATAATTGTATTCATAAAAGATGCATTTAAAGGGATAGTTCACCCAAAAATGAAAATTCGGTCATTAATTACTCACCCTCATGTCTTTCCAAACCTGTATGGCCTTCGATCTTCTTCGGAACACCAATTAAGATATTTTTGATGAAATCCGAGAGCTTTCTGACCCTGCATAGACAGCAACGCAACTGACACATTCAAGGCCCAGAAAGGTAGTAAGAACATCGTTAAAATAGTCCATGTGACATCAGTGGTTCAACTGTAATGTTATGAAGCTACGAGAATACTAAAATAACTAAACTAAAATAATGACTTTATTTAACAATTTCTTCACGCATGTGTCGTGGTTCTCTCATGAATGTGCGTCGAAGACTGACACGGAAGAGAAGAAATTGTTCAATAAAGCCATTATTTTTGCTTTCTTTGCACACAAAAAGTATTCTCGTAGCTTCATAACATTACAGTTGGACCACTGATGTCACATGGCCTATTTTAACAATGTCCTTATTACCTTTCTGGGCATTGAATGTGTCAGTTCCGTTGCTGTCTATGCAGGGTCAGAAAGCTCTCGGATTTCATCAAAAATATCTTAATTTGTGTTCTGAAAGTGAATGAAGGTCTTACAGGTTTGGAACGACATGAGGGCGAGTAATTAATGACAGAAATTTCATTTTTGGGTGAACTATCCCTTTAATTGATCAATTGACATTTATAATGTTACAAAAGGTTTCTATTTCAAATAAATTATGCTATTTTGAACTTTCTATTCATGAAAGAATCTTGAAAATATGGTTTGCACAAAAATATAAAGCAGCAAAACTTCTTTCAACATTGCTAATAATAAATGTTGACTGAATTTTCACTGATTTTAAATTGTAATAATAGTTCATGATATTATTATTATATTCATGATATTATTATTATTACTGTTATAATGTATTTCTGATCATTTTTGTTATTTTTTTAGACAAATAATAAGTGTATAAATTAAAAAGATCTCACTGCTTTTTAATATTTAAAAAATGTTTGTCCACCAAATCAGTCATGTGATGTGACCAACATGCAGAATGCCATAGAGAGGAAGTATAGACTCTAATGACTGTGTCAAGGTCAGTAAGTCTTTTAAAATATCAGATAAGTTGACCTATATGACAAAGCAAGGCTAGTTCACAGGCAGATTAGCTCTATTTATTTTATAGAATGGAGGCTGAACTTGGTGATATTTACATGAATGGTAATGTACCTTTCCGTGACAGCTGGGTGTTATTGCCAAACATGTCCTCTGAAGCATTCATTGGAGCGGTTTCTCTGGCATCAATTGTCTCCACCTTTCCTGTGGATGAACACATGGAATTTTTTTTTCATTGTCTAGACATTTAATTTTCAGTGTTGTTTGTCAAGACTAAAAATCACTTGGACAGTAGCCTAAGGCTTGTGTGTCATCATGTGTTATTTACTCTTGTTAGCTTCTCCTGAATAGTTGTTATTGTGGTTATTCACATCATTTGATGACTCTGTGAAGCAAGATTTGTGGTCACTATGATGTTGAGTAAACACTGTGCCCTTTTGCCAGGCTGCTCCAGAGTCATGTCACTTCAATTAATGTACTGTAAGTCACTTTGCATGACAAGTATCTGCTGAATGGCAAACAACCTCTGTGTCATATTAAACTCAAAGCCATGTCCTTCAGTGCCAGACTGACTAGAAAAAGATGCCAATTTCAAGGAGCCCTTACAGAAAGTTTGAGTTTTACGGGTTTTTTTTAGACCATGATGTAAGCAATACCAAGGTCATGAGTTTGATTCTTAGGTAAACATCTTCAATGCATAAATGAATGCATAAATGTAATTGTTTTACCTGTTGAAGCATTGTATATGGTGAAGAACAGCCCTCCTCCGATGCCCATGCTATGTGCGTTGAACAGTCCGACACACAACAGAGCAGCAATGGAAGCATCAACCGCTGAACCATTGCGCTTTAAGATGTCCCTGCAAACATGAAGAATGTTGGGTGTGAGTTGACGTGCATTACGTTTAATGACAAGCATGGAAACTCTTGGCTCTATATATTTGGACTCTTACCTCCCAACCTCAGAGCACTTCCCGGCATCTGCTGCCACGGCTGCTTTCAAGTAGAAGTGGTCCGAGGATACAGTGAGTCTCTTATTTCCAATCACCAAATACACACCCAGGAAAAAACCCAATGCAGCCACAAGCAAGACCACCAGCCCAGCAACAAGAGACTTCTTGACCATTTTCCTGAATAGGTACAGAACATGAATACAGGATGTTGAGATAAAGACATTTGAGGTCATAGTTCCCCCCCCCACAACTATGACAACTATGTAATGTCACCCAACTCATCGGACCTGTTGGATAAACCCTTTACAGTTACACAGCATCATCATCACTGTTTACAGTTGTTCTTTGAGTTTAATAATAAAGTTTAGCATTCATTCTACAATGTCATGACACTCCACATATTGTTTTTATATCAGCCTTGAATGAGCCAAGCATGCAGAGTTCAGAGAAGATTCATCCATGTGTAAATCCAAACCATACAACAGTCACACACTATTCAAGCCCCGAATTTAATTTCCTAATTGTAGTCCACTCCTTATATTTATGTCAGGACAGTCAAAACAGCTGTTGTGGAAGTAATTTAAGGCAACTGACAACATCTTAAAACCCTTCACACTTCAATTAGACAGACAGAGAGACAGATAGACAGATAGATAGATAGATAGATAGATATACAATCACTCTTAGATGGACAGACGGATGCATGGATAGACAGACAGACAGACAGACAGACAGACAGATAGATATATAGACATACCTCACAGTTGATTTAGTCTGGTGAGCCATAATCCAGAGACTGAATCCTTTTTCTTGTATAGGTGGATGTATCAAGACAGGTGTGGATAGGACTGGGGACAGATATAATCTGTGCTAATTAAAATTTAACTCCAGCGTAGATAGATATACAATCACTCTTAGATGGACAGACGGATGCATGGATAGACAGACAGACAGACAGACAGATAGATATATAGACATACCTCACAGTTGATTTAGTCTGGTGAGCCATAATCCAGAGACTGAATCCTTTTTCTTGTATAGGTGGATGTATCAAGACAGGTGTGGATAGGACTGGGGACAGATATAATCTGTGCTAATTAAAATTTAACTCCAGCGGTTATAAATCAACCTGGTCTCAACCTTACATGGTGATTGGCTAAGACAGGATGATTTTTCAATGTTTCAGTCCTGACGGTAAAGACAGGTATTACTCACATGAAACCTCACCCTGTTTTTAAGAGCTTAGGCACTTCAGAGGTCAAACTACTGCAATGTTGTTGCCAATGTGTTCACTCCACCCTTAATCTTACACATTTACAAAATAAATAAATAAAAATAAATAATTAAAATTAAAATACACAGTAAGGTGTAAAGACCAGATTGAAAATATGGGATTTTTTTTATTTTTAAATGCTCAGACAGTTTTACAAGGGAAAAATATTAATATATGAAAGATTTGGAAGCATTTCTAGGTCACTAATCAAATAAGAAAATGTGTAACATTGTACAAAAGGTTAAATGTTATTTTTTCTATTGAAGAACAAGATGCTCTTTGGATCATTCTAAAATTAAGATGGATAACATGGATCATTCAGTTTTGAACAAACTGTCCATGCCAGCTTGAGTTACAGCAAGATGTCCCATACAAATACTTAGAAATTGTTTGAAATTGTGAAATTTGTTAATTTATGTATTAAGTCATTCATGGGATGTTATCCAAGTTATTTCAACATTTTCACTCAATATTTTTCTAAAACAAAATGCATTGAAGCATCTTCACTAGTGGTCTCAGACTTTTGGACATTATTACTGTAGTTTAGTTAAGCGAGTCAGCATTGTCTGTTACGTAAGACTTTTAAGAAACATCTCTGATGCAGCATGTTGGTGTTGACTCGCAGCTGAATGAGTGAAAAACTTCAGAAGAAAGATTCTTGACTTTGAAAATGTCATTTTTATGTTTGTAAAACCTCCAGGGACTATATTCAAGAGTGAGGAATGCTAAAGATCATTTCAGTTCCTTGGCACTTAATACCAATGCCGGAAAATTCTAGAACCTTCTTACAGTCACAATACTTGTAACTAGCATCAAAGAGCACAGTTACGTAAAACTGCCACAATAAAAACAGCCGGTCAGCACTTTTCAGCGTAGGACAAGACACTTGAAGTATTATCAGACCTGTTCAAGAGAACTTTTGTCTTCAGCTCCTTATGTAGCACACTGTCCAGGATTTATTATTATGCTGTCATTCAGCAGTCCCTTCATGCCATAAAACCGCAATTATTGTTGAATAAATGGAAAAAGAGCGTGTCTATGCATGAGTATTTATGTGTCAGTAGCTTTTAGGGAGAGAGAAAGTTAGCTACTCACCTTTCACAGAATTGATTTGGAATTAAGTTTGGCAAACAGATCATGACACATTATTTGATTAATTAATCCTATTGTGATGTCTCAATCATTCAAGTCAGTTTGAAACTATTTAAACAACTGTTAATAAATACACTTCTGCCCTTATTTATCTTGCTATTATATGAATTACACTGTTAGCGATACCAGCTCTTAACGCCCATTTCAAAAGTATAATCTATCTTTCATTTTGATATATGTCTTGTTTGGTTATTTAAGGGGGGCAGCGACTTGAACAGCCAGATTTTTGGAAATGAACAATCATTAAGCCACTGGGTCAGCTGAGACTGCACTTAATATGAAATAATTTCACAACAATGAATTTCACTAACATTACAGGATATCAAAGCTATATGAAATTATTCATAAATGAATATATAAGAATTTTATTTCATTTATTTACATAGCAGCATATTAACGTAGCTCTCATTTATACACTCTTATAAATAAAGGTTCTTTATTGGCATCTATGGTTAATTTGGTTAATTTAAGTAAATTTGATGTATTCCACTCATGCCATCATACTGCAACAATTTAATATGCAAAAGCTTACTGACAGGTTTTTGAAAACTAACCCCAGAAGGAACTCTTCTTGTGTCTATTTTTTAAGCTTGCCTTCACATTGGAAATAAAAGACAAATGGAGTTTCAGCAGATATTTTGAAAAAGGTTGAGAATCAGACGGGGACATCAGTAAGGTCTATTGCTAAGGTCTATTCCATCTGTCATGTCAATTTGGACAGATAATGAAAACCTTTACAGCAGCTGAATAACAAAGGCTTAAAGCAGTGTCTAGGCCACAATATCAGAAGGTCTCCAATGAAACAAAATATGTCATGGCCATTTAATACCAGAAAAAGACCTGTGACTCTTCATATATACGAAGATGTGTCTAGGACATTTTCTAGACTAGCAATGCTAATGTGGAATTTAGTTTAGGAAGCACATCAGGAAAACAGTCAGCACCATTCCTTCGCTTGTTAGAATGGATTGCTATCTATGTCTTAGTCTCGCGTAGCCAGACCTTCAGACTGACGGCAGAAGGTCTGGGAACCTTGGGCGCTTTGAATGGCCAAGGACCGCCCAAGAGGCCATATGACTGACAGGTAAAGCAACCAATCAACGTTTCGTTTTGTGCTGTGTCATGTTTAGGGGCGTGTTAGGTCATATGACTGATGTGATCTTATTTTAAAGATTCTATGGCACGAAATATTTCAAATACTTTTGAAAATCCAGCGTTTAGTTGATCCTGATAAGCACTCATTGTCACAGTTGTAAAGATGACAGCCTTCTTCTTCCATGAGGGGGTTTAGAATCACGGCATCTATGTTTCCAGGTGGAATGTTAAAGAACGCAATACACACATCTCCCAGAAATCCTGTAGAATTCAACCAATCAGATGACGACTTCGAAACTCCTGAAGTGTTTCCAATTTTGTGTGCTATATGCATCAGACGTTCAGCCAACGGTCCATGGGCGTGATGTCTGAGGCTGAGACTAGCACCAAACCAATAGTATGTTGTTTTAAGCTGGTCTTTTCAAGAGGGGAGGTTGATGTTGATCAGTGGTTTTTGACTGTTGAAGTGTTATATAGGAACAGGTGTCATACACTCTAGTCGTTTCTGGCTTTGGCAGAACTGGAGTGTTGTGCCAAAGCCCCCTTGCACTGACAGAGCTGTTCCCCCTTGTGACTGATGAAAGACCCAAACACAAGTCCTGCTGCTGAGATTGGTCTAGCACTTTGGAAACTCGAGCAGAGCCAGCGTGAGATGGTGTCGGCATTGGTGTGAGTACAGGGCATTGGGGTGTTGAGGGCTGAGACTATCTATATCTCAGATGTTTCCCCTAAAAATGCATACAGCTACAACCTTTTTTTGTGTCGGGTCACAGTTTTGATAAGTAAAAAAAATCTAACGGCACACCATTAAGCACTGAAATATAAAAAAGGGGGAAAAGGTTTAGGCCTATTTATTTATTTTTAAAAAATGGTTAAACACTGCATAGTCAGAGTTGGTATTGTGGCTTTATCTATGATCAGGACATGTGCACTTAACATTTTATGATAATCATGCTCAAATAATAGAGATGGGAAGTTATGATAATTTTCTATTGCACACCTGACAACCTGTGGTTGGGAAACTACACACAGTTTTGGCAAACTACACATTCCCTGCGACCCAATGTTAATATTATCCATCCTAAATAGTATGTGAGATTAGAATAAGTGGGTTGGAAATGTAGTATGAAACGAGTATGCCAAAAGTCCCGGATGGTCTAATTCAGGTCGATTTTTGAAGTGTGGATCCGTGCACACTCTAATGGTTAATATTACCCACAATCCATTGAGCATTTATGAATGATTCGGTTGAGAACTACAAACACACATAAAAGCGTTAAAGGCACAATATGTAAGTTTTCGCCGCTAGAGGTCGCATTTTCAAAACAATAACAAAGGCAAAGCTTGATGACTCTATGAAGGAGAGTGGAACTATGGGAGATGTCGTTTTCACCATTCAGAGATGTCCGAATCATGTTCACGGATGTCATGAATTAATTATTTTTTTTACCTGTACCTTCCAAACTTATTCAAACATTGAATAAATTATATAGAGAAAGCGTGCAAATAACATTTAAAGGGGTCATATGATGCTTTTTTAGAGATCATTATTTTGTGTATTTGGTGTAACAGAATATGTTGACATGCTTTAATGGGCTCCTACTTACATCATATGTACATCTGCACTTTGTTGTTTATGATGAGAGAATACAGGCAGTGCGCAGGCACTGCACAAAACTCGGTGTTTCAGCGATGACTCATCTAAGCGCCTCTGATTGGCCAATGCATTCGTAAACTCAACATACTCGTGTGTGATTGGTTATAACGTGCAACACTGTAAAAACGCGGAAAAAGATTCATGGTGCAACATTGAGCAGATCTAAATTTAATGCTGCAGTCAACACTTTTCATTTCATTTTCATTTTATTCGCGACTGCAGTAATGGATTTTGTTTAACTGCAGCAGCATTTTTGTCCAGGTGTGTTGCCATAGTTTCTACAAGCGGAAACAGATAGCGCAGATATTACGTAATTGATAGACGACAATGAACTGACTGCAGGCCAGTTGAAAGTGAAAGGATGCGACAGAGCGGTCCGTTAAAGACGCAATTGTCAACCCAAAGCTTGCCTACTCTTCTACTACACACTCAAAATGTGTACTTTAGTTTTTCTCACCAAACGAGTAAGTACTTTTAGGGGCGTAGTAAGTAGGCACATTGGGATGCAGCATATGTAGTAGGCACATTGGGATGCAGCATATGGGATGCAGCATTTGTCCCTCTAGTGTTTAAATCATAAAACTGACAGTTACTTGCAGAGGAACGTTGTTTTGGTAATTACCATAGACTGTATAAAACCATGGACGTAGTGTCCGTGACGTCACC